GATGTTTTGAAATAGTGGATGTACTGACCCAGATTACACTACTCCTGATGTCTTTCATCCCTGATTTAACTTGAAGAAAATATTAATCTAACATTCCGTCGAATTTTCCAGGAAACCGAAGGGAAACACAGGGTACAATTTAAGCACTGGATCAAGCAATGCACTGATTTAACTAAGTGTGACATTTAGTATTCCTCTGTAGAATGAGTTTCTCATGTCTTAATCAACTGTCTAGGGAAGTGTATCTTTCCCTTGTGGTTTGTCAGGATAAGGCCTTTATTTGGATGCAGGTTTTGCTTGAATGTTGAGACTATTTTTTTCTTAGAAAACCGTGGAAAACATTAAGGTCAGAGCCACCTTAATAAGAGCTGAAGTCCAGCTGGAGGCACTTAGTCTGTGTTTTGTTTAGCTCTATACCTGAACATCAGACCCCAACTGAAACAAAGGACTTGCTTTATACTAGATTAAATAGTAGACTGATGTAGTGTGTTTGGGGGATTTTTTTTTTTATTTGCTGTAATGTTTGATTCAGTGCTCTTGCTCCCCTTTTCCCTTGAACCATGTCTGGCAGCAAATCATGACACGGGATTCCCAGACTAGAGCGAAAAACAGAACAGAGCCAGCTCCTCCACGGTTCAGGTCCTTCAAATAAAACTTAAATTATAACTTTTCTTTGTGCTCTACAGCCAAGGTTTTCCCCTCCATACTAGCTATAGGAGTAGAGGTAGTGACTGATATTTTATTAGAACTGGGATAAATAATAGGGCTTTTGTGGCTATTTAAACTGCACTTTAAAAACTGAGTTCTGTTTTACATGTGTTCACTAAGTGCATTTAGGCTGCTTTTTATAATGGATGAATGCTAACAGTAGCTCAGTAGTTCATTCTCATCCTCAGTGAGGTGAATGTATGTGAAATGCTGTATCTTTATTATTATTATTATCTTTATTATTTATTTACTCAGTAGGGTTTACACTGTAGGTAGCAATCGTCAAATTTAGTCAGAACTTCACTTTTCCTATCAACCTAGTGCCGTATGTAGCTATGCTTAAATTAAAACCACCAATGGTCATGTATCTTACTTGCTTGTAGCTGTGTTAATGCCTTCATTATAATAAGTAGATTATAGTTGTTTACCTCCCAAGCATTCAGGCAGTACTGAGATTCCTTTGTCATATTTTATCCTCAAGTTTTCCAGCAAACCTCCAGACCACCAAATCATTTTGTATCATAGCACAGACGAGCTTGTCAAGATGGCCAAAGATAAGAGCAACCATATGGTCTATATGGCATCCAGCTCCCAAGCACAACTGGCCATTTATGTTCTGAAAGGGTGTAGTCCATGGTAGCAATAGATGGGACTTTTGCCCTGTTTGGAAAGATAATAGAGATGAGACATGCTGAAAATAAAGGGGGGAAAAACAACATTTTTCTACACTTTTTTAAACAAGCCTCAGGAAGAGCATTTGAAAGTTAGGTACCTATAGATCAATATACTTAACCTTATTTCAACTTTCCATATTCCCAAAAGATACAGCAATTACTTAGTAATCATCTCAAAGGAGATATTCTCTTGCCAATAAACACAATATTTAATTACTGTGTGCTTCTAATCCATTACCAAAGTGTTTCATGTGGCCTACAGCTGGTTACATGCACTTTCTCTCTCCGTTTTTCCTTCCTCAATGCAGCCAATCAAAGCTCTATTTTGTTGCTGCTGCTCTAATGCAAACCAGAGATTTGGTGATTGGTGATGTGCCAATAACTCTTCTTAAGCACAAAAAACTCTTTCCTACCCTGTAGACACACTGGGTGGATGGGAATAAAGAAAAATTCTTATGTCTTACAAGCTACAATATTCATCACCATGTGAGTGTCTGCTTGTGCAGTAATTTTGTAAGCAGCATGTGGGAGCTTTGATCTGTGAGAGGTTTGGCAGTGGTTTCAAATTGTTCACTTGCCATATTTGCTAAGAGGTAAATATTTTTACTTGATTATACAACTTAAACCTTTGCTTCCTATAATTTGTTAGTCATGTCACCGAATGTTCAGAACAATTAAGATGAGCATGCAATCTCAGTCTAATGTTCAATTTTATGAAATGCTCATGCTGCCTCATCCATAATATGTTTGCCAAAACAGTTTGTTTTACTGATGTTCACTTTTCACTAAAGAGAAATCAGAGGGAATTTTTGTCTACTGCTTGTATAGAAATTTGCTTCCTACAATGTGTTATGACATATTGTACCCCAGAGCTCTTGAATGCTCGATTTTTATTGGTCAGAATGTGTTGATTCATTTCCTATAACAACACAGACATTAGTACAGGCTGCAAGGTGTATATTAATGCCCTCATTTGTTATGCTTTCTATAGTAGCAACTTACACAGGGATTTAAAAAAAAAAAATTGTAATTGCTGATACAGTGAAGTTTTGTGATGCAGTTTGGGAAGGAGTCTCCAGTGTTAGTGCTTTGTAACAGTAGACACAGGAAAGTCTTCAGGACAGAGGGCTTGGTGGTTTGTCTGCAATATGCAAGCTGCAATTTTTGTTTTATTAAGTGTGAAAAAGAGGCTGCTGAGAAACAACTGTTTATAGCTAGTATAATGTAAGTGATAATAAGAACTCATGTGTTTCATGGATGTTCTGGAACATTCTGCAGTATAGTACAGTATATTATGAATAGGACATACACTATATGTCAAAAAGTATGTGGACACCTGACCATCACACCCATATGTCGGCCTTTCCCAAACTGTTACCACAAAGCTTTGAAGCACGCAATTGTATAGGATGTCTTTGTATGCTGTAGCATTAGAATTTCACTTCACTGGAACTAAGGGGCCCAAAGATGTTCCAGCATGACAATGCCCCTGTGCACAAAGCGAGGTTGGAGTGGCCTGCAGACAGCCTTGACCTCAACCCCAGTAAACACCTTTGGGATGAACTGGGATGTAGACTCACTAATGCTGTTGTGGCTGAATGGCCATAAATTAGGTGTCATACTCTTGAGAGTGCCTGTTTCTGTCTTAACCCTGATTGTGAAATCAGAATGGTCATAGTCCTATTTCAGCATGTAACTTGACTTTTATGAGTGCTACATGTAGAAACAGGGTTGCTGATTAACTGTACGAGTTAATCTTAACAGCTTAGAACCTACAATATTTATTCACAATTCTATGTTCTCTTTAAAATGTCTGGGAAAGAATCTGTTTTTCCTACTTAACTTTTCAAACATCCTCAATCTACTGTCAGCATTGGGTTCCCCTTTACTTGACTCATTATGGGCTGTGACCAAGCCTGATCTCCACATGTCATCATGGTAATATTGTTCAATTGATGAGATGTCAGCTGTGGGGTATCTAGAGTTCAAAGTCACCTGTAATATGAACCCCTGTGAAGACAAAGACTGAATTGTACCTTTGAGCCTAAGATGAAATGAGGCTTATCCAAGTCAGAGGGTCACCCGTCCCATCTCCTGGGTGGAGATTGGCATGTTAGAAGATGACCCCTTTCCACAAAGAATGTATGATCTCCTTCAATTCAAACATTATTATCCCTGTCAGATCTATTTTCCTGGCTTGGGTTTTTGCTCAATCAAAAACTTTGTAAGGAGAGCACACTGAGAACATATCTGCACACAGAGTCTCAGTAGTCCCGTAAATGCTGCATCTCTGTGTGGAGGGTCTGGTTAAAACCATGCACAGTGAGACTTTTGTAGAGGAAGCCCACCCTGTAGTCCACAGTAACAAATCCAACAAATTGGTGGTCCCCACAGTAAAACATTTCTAATGAACTTATTTGCACATGTTAATAATCAGAATTGCAGGAAGCCCATATTTTTGAGTTTTCATTGCTGAAGGCTAGCAGTGTGATGACTAATGGCTGCAAAATGTTATTTCCCACCAACGCATGAGGCTGTTTCACTGTAGTCTTTAAGAAAGGACAAGTGCAGAGTAATGCTCAGTTGTGCAACATGTGTCTTGTAATATTGTATTTTAGGTATTGTATACTAACTTTTGCTGATGCTACTGATTAATAACACCCATGGATAATTTATAATAAAATCATTGTGCAATTAAGCAATAATAGCTGTGATTTAGCAGGCATGAGCTTACTGATGTTATCTAATACATTATTAGAAAACTCATGCATTTAAAAGATAACATTTGGCTTGAAACAATATCATTTGGCTTAAAACATCTTGATATTTATCTTGGTTTTCTGCATCACGGCTAGTTTGGATTCACAGAAAAGAGTGTCCTGTATTAATAATGTAATAAAAACAAAAAGGAAGAAACAGCTGTTCTGTCTCTGTAAGTAAAATCCTAAATAGCTTTGATGACACTTTTATCAGAAACCTGGTCTCTTACTTAATATGGTACATTACTTAATAAAATCACAATACAATACAATATTGTATACTATACAATATAGTATACAATACAATACTATATGGCCAAAGGTTTGTGGACACCTGACCATCACACCCATATGTGCTTTTTGAACATCCCATTCCATATTTAGTCCTACTTTGCTGCTACATTAATCTCCACTCTTCTGGGAAGAATTTTCAGTAGATTCTGGAGCATGGCTGTGGGGATTTATCCATTCAGCCACAAGAGCATTGGTGAGGTCAGGCACTGATGTTGGGTGAGGAGGCCTGGCATTCCAATTCATCCCAAAGGTGTTCAGTGGGGTTGATATCAGGGCTCTGTGCAGGACACTCGAGTTCTTCCACACCAACTTTGGCAAACAATGTCTTCATGGACCTCGCTTTGTGTACAGGGGCATTGTCATACTGGAACAGGTTTGGGCCTCTTAGTTCCAGTGAAGAGAAATTGTAATGCTACAGCATACAAAGAAATTCTTGACAATTGTGTGCGTCCAACTTTGTGGCATCAGTTTGGGGAAGAACAACATATGGGTGTGATGGTCAGATGTCCACAAACTTTTGCCAAATAATGTCATGGACGTTACTCTGCAAAAGTCTTAGGCAGGGGGCACAGTGGCTTAATGGTTAGCGCTGTTGCCTTGCACAGTTGGGGTTGGGGGATCGAATCTCGCCTCTGCCCCATGTGCATGGACTTTGCATGTCCTCCCCGTGCTTAGGGGTTTTCCTCCAGGTACTCCAGTTTCCTCCCCCAGTCTAAAGACCTGTGTTGGAGGCTGATTGGCATTTCCAAATTGGCTGGCACCCAATCCAGGGTGTGCCCCAAGTCCCCTGGCATAGGCTCCAGGCCTATATCTGCGACCCTGTGTAGAATAAGTGGTAGAATTGGATGGATGGAAGTCTTAGGCATTTTTTAAATTTTGTCTTGCATGCCTGTTTTATTAGTAGATGTTATATATTACAGATTAATACATACATGATATATAGGAAAATAGGAAGTGAAAGCATGAGGTTTGCAACTAGTTAATAATGTTATTTATGAAACAAAAAACTTTTTTAGTAAAATATTTTCTTTTTACTGACATAGTTTTATAGCATGGATATAAATAGACAGTACAGAAGAATGTGTCTAGTAGAGGATAAAGTAATTAATCTAGCAATCTGCTCCTCCTTCCATGATCACCCCCTTCTTGTAGTTTCATGAACAAGATTGTTAGATTGTTAGAACAAGATTGAAAAAAGGTGCAGATCATGTTGCCCAGCTTTACTTGGCAAAAGTTCTTTTTTTCCTTTCAGACATGCTATTACTTTATAATAGATCCTAAATAATGTACAGTTGCATTAAAGACCATTTATTAGGTAAAGAATACAGTAAGAATTTCTTTTAATAAGACTTTCAAATGCTTCAGTTCTTTAAACATCAAATGTTCTTTCAAAATCTTGGGTCTAGAATGCCATTCACCCACAAATAATACACTCATGCATGCAGTCAGAGACTTGAAATGAGTTGCAGGAATACACAAGAATTTGAGAATGGGCAATTTGACTGGGTTCAGATAGATCCAGACACAGAACAGATCTCCGTACAGATTTTTGTCACAGGATGTTCCTACTTCAGCCGCGAGAATCTTGGTCTCAGAGGGCATTTGTGGGAAATAAAGTCACATCTCATTATCTGGGGAGCTGGATTGTGGTGTGCTCACAATCTGCACTGCCAGTCACCTCAGATACACTCCAGCCTTCATCCATTCCACCCATTTCCCTCTCTGCCCCTTTCCCACTCTTCTGCACATGGCTGGAATGTTTCTGTAATTGCTTTCAGTTGGTTTGCCTGTGAGAGGATAAAGGAGAGCAGTACTGCTCATTTGGAAACTGCATTTTTCCTATATGTGGCTGCACACAGGAGTGAACACTAAGGGAGGAGAAGATGCTTGACTGTCTGCTCATACTGGACAGTTCAAATGCTTCTACATTAAGCATTGAACAATTGCCTCAATTATTCAATATCATGGGTAATTTAGCATAATTTACCCAGCACTATAGTCATCATTATATGAATTCTGAGACTGCATGGAAATGTACAGCCATGGTACCTATATGCAAACATTCATAACACACACACACACACACACACACATACATTTTCCTGCTCTGTTTCACTTATACTGATGCACACGAACATACACCATACCTCCCCATATAACTATTTACATTCCCGTAGGATTTTAAGCACTATTTAATTTATTCCAGTAAAAACCACAAGTAGCCTATGTCTCAGCAAAAAAGATTGAGAAAGGTTTAAAAAAAAAAAAAAGCAATGAAAAAGTCTGTCAAACCATGTTTATTTTGGTGTTTCTTTTTGTCTTGTTCTTGCCAGGTTTTGTGGAGGTGCTGAATGTCGTTGCAGGATTTACTGTGTAGGAAGCAAGGTGTGAAAGGGTCTTATTCCTGCCATTCTGCATGGGTGTGATTGTTTTTCTTCCTTTTTTTCTAATGAGAATGTTAACATGAGCGCGCACCTCATGGGAAGTATATTTTTTCAGTGTATTCCTTTAGCAGAGACAATATGGCTACATCCAGAAATCTCATCTAGATCAAGCCAGTATTTCCAAATGAGGGCTCATCAATTTGATTTATGGCCTGAAGTTCTCATCCAGACCATATAACAGCACTGTACAGCTGAACATTCCATGACTATTATTTTTGCATTATTTTCTCATTGTTTCGGAGACCACGACAGTATTATCCTCTCTCAACACCTCATATCATACAAAATAAGCTGAAATGTGTTTTATATTCACTTTCTTATGATGTACCATATCCATCAAGCATAATGCAATAACAAACTTAAAAAGGGTTTGTCATGGGTTCTCTGGATAGTTAAGAGCTACTTCGAATCCTCTCTGAAAGCTGTACATAGAAACTTTAAAGTTTCCCCCAGAGGGACAAACCAAAGAAAGCCTAAGGGTACTGGAGTGTAGATTCACAGTGTAGATTGCTATGGTTATCCCACAAATATTACCATTGTAGCCATTATTTCAAAGCATAAGGTAAATATTTATTGCATATCAACCTTATAAAATAAATACTGGGTAACTGGAGAAGATAATTCTACATCTCAAACATTCTCAAATTTGCCATTTGAGAACAGTTGTGGGTTATCGACCTGTGTCACCAGTACTACAGATTTCTGGCCAATCTTTTTGTTGTTGACAACAGTCAATATATCAAGTTCCAGTGTTTGTGGATACATGCCCAGTATGCAAAGACCAACAGAGCTAGAGTACCAAAGAATCTGCATTGTCCAGGAAAATGGTAGTTGATATAATCTGTTACAAAAACAGTTGTGAGTTATATCAATCTGTGCCACAAATACTCCAGATTTCCAGCCGATCTTTAAATAGTGTCTGTAGCAGACTGTCCACTGACTTACTAGGCATAAAGACAGCTGCATGTTTTTCTTAAATATTTTACTTCTCCATGGTCTGAATCGCAATAATATGTAGAGGTCCAAGGTGTCTATGGATACATGCCCAGTATGCAAAGGCCCACAGAGCTTACCTAAAGTGCCAAAGAATCTTGTCTAGTAAAAATGCAGTAGTCCAACAAGGATTAATTTGGCACTTAATCTACCCCTCTTTAAAAAAAAAAAAAAGAAAGAAAAGAAGCACACAAAATGAGAGAAAGAATGAATTCCTAGTGTATGACTAACTGGCGGCTTCTCACAAATGGCTTAACATGGTCACTAAAGATTATTCGTAATTATCATAATGTCTGTAACAGTCATTTAGTCACAAACATTCATTTGAAAATGGAAAAATAAAGACCCTGGTCCTGTGGTCCAATGTGGTCTGCGGTCTAATAGTGACCTTGGTTTTACAATATCATTTTTTAAAAATATGAAACTCTTTTTTATGACATAAAATATGTCTATCAAAATGCTCTAAATTGGCAATTTGGTATGAGACTCATAAATTTGTCCCATGTAGTTAGATTTATACTTTTTCCCCTCTGTATGTATAAATGAGCTGTACCATATTCAATGTCAGGGAGTGGTTTTCCCATGGCTGTTTTTCTTATTGAGCTTTGTGAACTTTCTCTTCCAAACTGTACTAAATAGAACAGTGTTTGGACAGTACCTGATGGATGGAAGCATGAGAAGAGCTCAATCCTGAACTGAAAGTAATTATCTCTTGCCACATCAGAGTTTGCTCTACTCATAATAGGGTTCTGTGTATTACATGGCCTTAGCATTTTTACATAGATTTCTTGTCTCTTTTAAACAATTTAGCAACAGGATTTAAAAATACAGCATTTCTCGTATGGATCTAGTTAATAGATGACATATCTTGTGATAGTGTTTGGCAGCATTCTTCATTTTTTCACTCCATATCACATGAGGTTATGCTTCTTAATTATTGGTGCAAATTGGTCAGGGTTGACTGGTATAAATGCACTAGCAGGGCTAACCACTGTCTTCTAAAGATTAAAAATAAAACATTAATATAAAGTTTCATTTTTGACATCCACATCATATTATTTGTTGCTAACAAATAATTTCTAATGCTTTAAGTTTAATTATTTTATAATTTTGTGGAACCAAGCACAACAGCAGTACCAATGGTCATAAGAAAAATACGTAAAATGGCATGAATGAGTGGGGCTGGGGCTGATTTTTGTCTAGCCCAGACTGTAGATTCCTGCAGCCTATCAGTCATGTCAGGTGATTCACTCTTTGTAAACACCATGTAGATTTGATCTCCATTTGGGTTTATATTTTTCAGCCCATGTTGTGGACACATAGATAACGCATCATCAAGAGTGATTATGAAAGGGCATGTGAAATACTGTCACGGGTGTACTGAATGTGAATGAGGTGGATTATAAAATTATGTCTGTCCTCTTTTGTTTCCCCAAAATGCCTTTGGAAGGAAAATTAAATGTAATTAGACTAAGCACACACTGTCCAATCAAAGTACAAATTACAAAAAGACAGTCAAAAGAACTATAAGTTTGTAATATGTTGCCTTTACCATTATTATTACCATTAGTGAGACCTCATGCATTGTTCAACCCTAACAGTCAAGCTGTTGACAGATATTAGATTTCAGCCTTCCCATCTAATATCATGACTGGCTATCACTGAAACATTGTTCTTTTGTTCCCTGACTTGATGAATAGCCAGATACCTCCAACCAAATAGCAAATAGCCAATCAAAGACCTCAATAATGAAGTAGATTAGTGCTAGAGTATATAAATCAGAATATAAGCTCTTTATATTGAATGAGTGTCTTTAAATTGAGCAATCGAAAAGGACTGGATTTAAAAGATTTTGATGGTCTCTTGGCAATACAGCAATATTCCTCTCAGATCAGTAAATGTGACAATTTTTCCAACTCTCATTGGAAAAAGAGAGAAAAAGAGAAAGATGTTGAGTTGTATTTTGTTGCAGCTGTTAACCTAATGGCCAGTCCTGACAAGGCAACCTTGTGAGACAAAGTCTCCAGTGAAAGAAAAAAAGAAAACAAAACAAAAGGAGGAGAGTACAGGAATGCATTATTGTGTCAAGGCTGGCCAGGACAGGCACATAGTTTGGCATGGAGCAAGCATTTCCATTAAATAGCAGATTTAGGGAACATGATAATTGCTATAGCAGAAATGAGCCCGCTATCATTCAACCT